ATATATTTTTTTTTTTTCTTTTCTTAAGTCCACGGTAACTTAGCACTTGCTTGAAACTTGAACGCTCTGACTTGAGACTTGCTTGTGATTGCACATATGTGACTTACTCCCACCTCTGGTGGGTACAGCGGTTTATTGTCTCTTTTGCCATCCAGCGGTAGAGCGTTTCATTTTTCTGCCTGTCACTCTCTGCAGCTTGCATGGACAGTTAGACGATATATGACATTTCGAATGAATTAAACATTTAAATAATACTACAATAACAACAATATTAATATGTAATAAAAAATATATGAGACTACTTAATGTGTTCATTCTTTCACTTTTTAACCAACTAGACAGAACATAACTGAATTTCCAGAGAGTCCAAATCTATTGAACCGAACTGGAAACAGTGACCACAAAACTGAGACATAAACTGAGCCATGGACTTGATGATCCGTTCGACCCCTAATGCAAAGCTTTGTTACAGTCAGATATTTATTTATGTTCACAGCTGAGGGCTCAAGAGTGGATGGAAGGAGATGATTTTAACACAGAGACTGTGATGAACATCTGTGGTGAGTGTGTTTTAATAGAGACACTACACTACCTGGCTGCGGTTCCTGGTTTACCATGTATTAGTTGGGCAATATTTCTCATTCACACCAACTAAAATTGGAAAAAAAAAAACAAATTTTTGCAAAAGAAATAAAAAGGTCTGCTTTAAAATCATACATAAGCTTTTAAGGTTCATTTTAATTGTATTCATTTGTGCTTGGCTTATTTAATGACAGCCATATTGTGTGGAATTAGTTTAAGCAGACTGTTTGTTCCTGCGATTTATATGACAATCAGTCTACGTTTTATGACCAGTTTATGCAAAAGTTTCAGAAATTCCAAAGGGTCCACATAGAGGTTGACTGATTGATTTTTTAAAATTTGATTTGACTTTTTATTGATTAATCAATCAGTCAACCTTTATGTGGACCCCATTGATTGGTGAAGATTGAAATGATGAAGTCAGGTTTGCACTGATTATTATTTAAATAATTAGCCACCGATTTAGTAACAACAACAAAAAACCTCCTAATGTTATTGTTAAGCATGTTGGTAACTGGAATGTTGCATCTGATGTTTTTATCCGTTGGATTGAGCTTACTTTGAGAATCTCAGACTGCTCAAAAACACAGACCACACCTTCGTGAGCATGTTTTTATTTAAGCAGACGAATGCCCAGTGCCTCCTCTAGTTTTCGTTTCTGAGGGCAATAACTGCCACGTAAAATTGCACAATGTGGCCTATCTGTCCACTAAATTCCCAAAAGACTAAAGTTTTGGCGGATTCCATCACAACAAAATATATATTGAACATAAGGAGTTTTAATGTGTACTGATTTTAATAACACTCTCAACTCTCTTGCCACATAAAGAATTGTGCTCTTTTCTGACAGATGACCTGATGGCAGACCAAAGGATGGACATCTCCTCTACAATGACCGACTTCATGTCTCCCAGCTCTACCGACCTCATCTCCAGCTCGATCAGCACTCCTGGCATGGATTACACTCGGAAAAGGAAGGGCAGCACCACAGAATATCAGTAAGTAAAGAAGGAACAACAAGACAGACAGAAAGCATAAAGAAGAAACAGAAGTGTATGTACACGTGTAGTATATACGTACTGTCGGACTATACACCTTATTTCCTGTATCATAGTTGTCGCAACAATAAATGACAAGTTCTAGATGTTTTTTTTTTCCTGATAGATTTTTGTAAAAAAAAAAAAAAAATGCATTTAGCATAAGCATTTGCATCATAAACGTGTGAAGAAAATTGTTGGTCATTAACATATTAATACTTGCACAATATAAACTGACCAAATAATTTGTGTCTCTTTACAGAATCGATGGCTTCTCATTTGAGTAAGTTCAAACGTTCAACAATCACAAAACATTAATAGTTTCATTGGATTCTTAAAAACTGGTACATTAACTGAGTGAAACAATGTTTGTACCAAACTTTCTTCCTGCTCAGTTGCATTTGTTTGAATGTCCTTAAAACCAGTGTTGTCTTTCTTCCTCATTAGTGATATGGACTCAGACAAAGATAAACTGGGAAGGTAAGGTGCCACCATTGCGTAACATTTCTGGGGAAAAAAATACACTTAAAATGCACTGGAATCGATGTCTTGTGATGTGACAGTATAGTCAACGTATCATTTGCTTAGCCTACAGCAGGTCAATGTGTTGCAGGCTCACGTACCGTATTTCCTCTTAGAGTATATTGACCAGGGCTGTTTATTTACTCAAGTGCACAGAGATGTTTCTGTTGGGTGGAGGTGTGTTTGTACAAGACGCTGTCTCCACATGACATTAGATTGTTTTCACGACTGTTCAGGCAACTTACATCTTTATGACATGCAATTTTCCTAATCTTTATTCATATGGTGAAAGTTGTCATCGAAGAGGTCAAATGGACTCCTCAGTTTGTTTCTGAATGAGAGTTTCTACGATATGAGCCAATTTCATATTGTAGCTCCTATTTTTCCTGAGTATTAAAAAAAAGTAACTTTACATCTAAATGGTGGGAGGTGCTTTATTTGTTTGACAGACAATGCTCATGGCTTTGATTCCATCTATTTTGGCAAATACGGTATATCTACCTCAAACAGGACAAGTTCAGAGATGAAGGTCCTCCGGATTTTCCCGGAATTCCGGGTTTTTCAAATTTTTATGAAAATCTGTCCGGAGAATTGAGGAAAATTTGCCGAAAATTAATCCGGATATTAGTTGACAACATTGAACGAAGACGCGTTTGAGTTTGTTGTTTTACTTTCACGAGCGTAGCCGTGTTGAAACACTAACACTAGTAACAGTAAAGAGATTTTCATCTCTTTATAAACACACTTGCTGAGGTTTACCCAGTGGAACGAACAAAAGACACCGTGGACAAGACAGTTGTCGTAAAAAATATATTTGGACAAAAAGGGAAACACACAGATTGGCAGAAAAACGTGTCTGTCCGACTTCGAGTGTCATCTCGGCTAGCTTAGTTTAGCTGTTGTCGTGTGTGACGTCGGGTGTGTGACGTTGTTGCGTCAGCGCTGATTGGCTGAAATCAAAAGACGCGCTTGCGTAAATGTTCGCGCTGACGCACGCACAGCAGAGAGCAGCGGACAAGCTAGAGTGGCGTCGCCACAACAGTAATTAATAATCCCCTCGTCTCCCTTCCTCATAGCCATATCTCTGAGATTACGAAATTTCGGCGAGAACGGGAGCCACAAAGGGTGCATGAGCCCGATCACTTAACTTGATTTGCAGGCCCGAGCCCGAAGCAAACCCGTGATTTCATATTTTATTTGGGAGAACTCGGGAGGAGGAGGGGTGATTGCTGATAACACAGCCTGTCTTTTGGAATGAAATCTAAGTTGAATAAGACTGGATAAACATTTACATCTATTATATTTCTGTTTCTGAAGAGGTTACATTAACGGACAATTTTCCATCATTGACGGATTTTTTTTAAGAGTGGACGGGGAAAATTTAAGGCCGTCTGTCATTTTGACGGGTTGAAAATTGGGCCATTCA